CATCCACTCACCTCAGCCTCCCAAAGGCGTGGGATTACAGGCTGAACCACCGAGCCCGGCTTATTTTAATTTTTTTTTGAGTTGGAGTCTCACTCCTTCACCCAGGCTGGAGTGCAGTGGCACACACGCTGGTGGCTACCCCAGAGTTGATCTACTGGGCTCTGGCGATCCTTTCGCCTCAGCCTTCTGAGCAGCCGGAACTACGGACGCACGCTACCACACCCAGCTACTTTTTATTTTATTGTAGAGATGAGGTCTCGCCAAGTTGCCCGGGCTGGTCTCGAACTCACAGGCTCAGGCAATCTACTCGCCTCGGCCTCCCAAAGTGCTGGGATGACAGGCTGAGTCGCCGAGCCCGGCCTAATTTTTATTTTAAAGATGTGGGATACAATTCAGGGTTAGGTGTACAAATGCCATTGTACAGGTGAAGTCTGGGCCTCACTTTGGTCCCCCTGTCACCTGGTTTAAGATCAGGTACCCTTATTGATGAAGCGTGTCCCTATGTCTTGTTAAAGCAAGACCCCGAACATTCCTAGTGCAGGAGGGGCCATGTCCTACCCTCTGGGCAGTGCAGCAAACAGGGAGAGGTGCAGCTGGAGAAATCAGGGGAGGGGAGCTTGGGGAAAGGGGGACCTGGGGACGAAACGTTGCACGTCACCGTCTGGCTCAGAGAAGAGACTGCAGGACCAGATGGAAGGGAGATGGTATGGCCTAGAGGCCCAGAACTTGGGGTTCCCAGTAAACCAGCTGGAGTCCCAACTCGGTTCCGCTGGATTCTGCGCCTGGACTCTAGCCTTGAGGCCAGTGGCTTGGCGTCTCCGAGCCTCGGTTTCTTCTTTGTGAATGGGTGGGACCATGATAACCACGTTCAAGTTGACTGGGAGGAGTGGAAGGACGAGTGTGGGAGTGGGAGGGAGTGAACATGTGAAAGTGAAGATGAGAACAAGTGTGTGAGAACGAGTGTGAGCGGGTGGGTGAACAAGTGTGAATACTTGCGAACGTGTGTAGATGGGACCAAACGACCCCTTGGGTGGCTCAGCCCAGAAGGGGCTCAAAGGACGGGGTCCTGAGGGGGCCTCAGGCTGGGAACCCCGGACATCAGAGCACCCACGGGGGGAAGCATCCCCTGTGGTGCCTGGAGGCCTCAGGGAACCACTCTGTCCCCACCTGATACTCTGGGGAGCCGCAGCCCTGGCCCACAGAGGAGAGGAAACACTTTTGTGCGGCCCAGGGAGGCAGGAGCTTGGGCTCAGGCCCGTTTCTGAGGAGCTCCAGGTGGGGGCTGCACAGAGCTGCTGTGGCTTTGGGGGATGCCCACGGGGGAAACTGAGGCACAGTTTCCCTAGACAAAAGCACAGGTGCCGATCCCGTCGGCCCGGCCCGTCTCACACTGGGCTCTTGTCAGCCATGAGGCCCAAGGTGAGTTCCTTATCCTCTGTGGTCTTAGTTTCTTCCTTAGAAAGTCGTGGATAGCAGCTGTGATCCCCCACCATGTCACCATGGGAAGCACACAAGAAACACACCAAGAGAGCTCGGTGACAGCCCTGAGACACCCAGGCCCACAGCCCCCATCAAAACCCCTGGGGCCCCGTGTCCATACATTTCGATTTTCTCCCCTTCATATTTCAAAAGGTAGCGTGGCACATACCCCGACAGTTACACAACACCCCCAGCAGGGACCGGGGCGGCACCCTGTAATTAAACACATTAATATTTCTGAAGTGAAACAGATGAATATTTGCACCAAGTGGGATACATCAAGCCTATAAATAGCTCCTATCGGCTTGGGACAGGTTCTGCTATCTGTGAGATTTCCCACAAACTTAAAAAATAAAAAGGACTTGAGGCTTTCAGAATGTTCTGAATTTCAGGCTATGGAGAAGGGACTTGGATACAGGCTGCCATCAGCATGCTGTCCCGGGGGCAGTGGCAGGCTGGTTGCTGCTTCTGGATGCCCAGGGGGGCCTCCGAGGTTGGCAGGTCCTGGGCTGCAGCTGGCAGCAGCAAGCAGTCCTCACCCGTCTCTGTCCAGCCGGGGTCCTGTGGACTCCACTTTCAGCCAGGCTGCTCCCTTCTGGAATGCCTGGGTCACTCTGCCAAAGCCTGGTTGGGGGGAGAAGGTGAAAGTGGCCGCTGGGGTTCTGCCGGGCATCTCTGGATGTGTGGGGGAAGCCTCTCGAGCCCAGAGCTCCTGCCTCAGCCAGGCAAGAGGAGAAAACGGGTCCTGTGTTGCCTCTTAACTTCCAATTCCTCCTGTTCGCCCTGGGTAACCTTTCCCAAAGTGTGCTTGGCGGGACGCTGGTCCCTGAGAGCTGCCTGGAGAAAGGGTTCTGTGATCATCTGAGTCTGAGAAAGACTGCATGCTCCAACCTCTTGGAGATTCTCAATGGACACGGGTCTATGAATACCTTGAAAAGTGGCTGAGGCCGGGTGCGGTGGCTCAAGCCTTATAATCCCAGCACTTTGGGAGGCCGAGCTGAGAGGACTGCCTGAGCCCACGGGTTCGAGACCAGCCTGGGCAACATGGCGAGACCTCGTCTCTATAATAAATCAAAAAATTAGCTGGGTGTGGTAGTGCACGCCTGTAGTTCTGGTTACTTGGAAATCTGAGGCAGAAGCATCACCTGAGCCCAGCAGGTCAAGGCTGCAGTGGCCGGGAGCATGCCACTGCACTGCAGCCTGGGCAACCGGTTGTAAGACTCAAAAAAAAAAAAAGTAAGGTGGCTGAGCACGATGGTTCATGCCTGTAAGCCTGGTGCTTTGGGAGGTCCAGGTGGGAGGATTGCCTTGGCTTTTAATGTCGGCTAGCAAAAATATCAAAAAATAAAAATTTTAAAATGGCATCCAACTTAATTTAAAATTTCTCCCAAGGAGAAAATATCATAAAACACAACCACGAATGAAAATTTAAAGAGCATTACAAGTAATAATAATAATAAACTGAGCTTTTGAAAAGTGAGTCTTTAAATTTTTCAGTATATTTTTAAACTTAATTTTCAAGTAGCCACCAAGGCCAGTGTGGTGGCTCACATAGGTCATCCCAGGACTTTGGGAGGCTAAAGCAAGAGGATTGCTTAAGCCCAGGAGTTGGAGACCAGCCTGGGTAACATAGCAAGACCTTGTCTCTACAAAAACTACAAAAACGAGCCAAGTGTGGTGGCGCACGCCTGTAGCCCCAGCTACCCAGGAGGCTGAGGTGAGAGGATCACCTGAGCCCAGGAGTTCAAGAGAGAGACCTGTCTCTCAAGACAAAACAAGACAAAACAAAAACCCACGAAACTTTGAAAAGTCCTGCAATAAGTGGCCAGCTTAATTGTAATTAACCCAGCCTTTCTCAAACCTCAGCCATGGGACCCCTCTGGCAGAACCCCCTCTCCGCTCCCCACAGAACCAGCCCTGCCCTCAGCAAACTGGTGTGCTAGGGGGTCGATGCGGATCAGGCTCTGGGCGTTCGTTGAGAGGGCGCCATGTGTTGCTGGCCTATCCCCTCTCCAGCCTCCGGCCCCCAAGCTCACCAGGGACGCCCAGAAGAATCAACTAATTAAGGCAAAATGTGCAGCGGCCATGCAGAGCCTTGTAGATCATAAACGGGAACGGCAAAATCAATGCAGCCCTCCTGTGGGCGGAGGCGCGGAGGCCTGGAGGCCCGGCGGTGGGCGAGATGGGAGCCTGTGATTTAGGAAGAGCAAACGCTCTGGCAGCTGCAACCTGGGTAATTAGGTGTGTCAGGAAGACAGATAAATAGCGAGCTGGGCGGTCGATGGCACAGGCAATAAACACCCGGCGCGGCCTGGCTATGTCCGCGCGCAATCCTGCTTGTAGCTGCGCTCTGGCCTGGGGGCCTTCACCGGGGAGGGACCCCGAGAGAGCGGAGGCCTGAGAGAAGTGGAGGGCATTAGGGGGCTCTGGAGGTCCAGCCCCCCCCCGCCCCGAGAGCCAAGTCTGGGCATTCCTATGCACACCCCGATTCCGGCATCTTGGCATTAAAGGGGCCTTGAAGGCCTCGGAGCCCAGTGGACCACCCGGCGGCCTGCGGGATGGTCTGCGGGTGAGGCCGAGGGGCCCACCAGGCCCTCCTGGGGGCCAGGCACTCTGCCAGGAGTCATGGGAGGCTACAGGGAGGGTGAGTTGTGGTCCCTGGCACTTAG